CATGGTGGAACAGGGTAGCTCCCTTAGGGAGGAGGGCATGGAGCTAAAGAAGAACGCTCATCCAGGGCTGGGGAGCCTTCAATGAGTAAAATACATGCCACACAAACATGCAGACCTGAATTCAGATGCACAGCACCTGAGGAGAAACTGGATATGGCACTGCACATCTACACCTCAAGCACTGGGGAGGTAGAGACAGACCTGACTGAAAGCTGGTCTAGTAAGTTCCAGGCTCAGTAAGAGATCTTGTTTCAAAAAATATGATAAAGATCAACAGAAGACACCCAGTGCTCATCTCTGACCTCCACATGTACACATATGAGAGTGAGTCCATCTACTCACACTACACACACACACACACGTAAGCACACACACACATAAGCACACACATATGTGCACATGTGGTTTCTAGGTCTAAATTGTACAAGAGGAACAGCTATGAATCTATGGATTAAACAGAATTGGATGTACTTTGTCCATCATTATGGGCAGCCAATGAAGAGACACTTGCATAAGCCACTTCTTTCTGAGGATTGAGGATACTCAGATACTTCCATGCCCTTGGGTTTCCAAAACACACCACACTTAGCACAAAATTTACCCCTATTTTCTATCTTAATGTCTATCATGCTGGTGCCACTACGGATAAATACAGTTCTTTATTTCCAGCCCTGATCGATTCTTCTGTCAGGGAGCTGTAGATTGGATACAGAGTTCTGCTTCTCTCATGAAAAGATAAAATTGACAGAATGGGCCTGTGATTTCTCTGTTGATGAGTGCTCTGTGTTAGAGTGGCAAGAAGATCTGGGAAGAGGGAGTGAGGCAGGAACACAGTCACAGTGACTGCACAACATTCCTCAGCCAGTTCTGGGAGTCTGTGGCTAGTGATAGGAAAATAAATGCTTTCTGGGAGCTGGGAATGGGAGGTGGGTGTGGATGCAGACACGGCTGTGTCTGAGTGACTTTGCTATATGAGGATTATCTGTGTCTTTCTAGGAGTCTGTAGAGTTCAGGCAGTTTGTGGGAACAGACATTTAGTGGGCAGTGCAGGAAGGATGAAATATGTGGTAGCTGGCATGGCAGGTACCTGGGGAAGCTTGCTCCCTTAGGGTGTGTTGTGCAGCTGTTTCCTCTGGGTTGGGTATGATAACTGCTATCAGTACTTCCTCATGGAGAAACGGGAAGGGTCATGGGACTCACAAGGCTTAAAGGTGGATAAGAGAAGCCAGGTGTAGTGGCATGTGTTCATAATCCTAGCACTAGGAAGGCAGTGGCAGGAGGATTAGAAGTTCAAGCAAGCCTTGGCTACATAGCAAGTTCTAGGATACCCTGGGTCATGTGGGATCTTGTCTCAAGAAATAAAATGGTAAAGCTAAACAAATCAAGACAGGTAAGGAAATGGCCACGGGTTAGGAAACTCTTTTGTAGTAGCTATCTATAAGTTGCACAAAGGATTTCCCTGTGGTGCCACCCATGTTCCTGTGAGTAACCCCAAGATACACATCCGTTTGACTAGCAACTTACAGGGGTAGAAGCCTTTCTCAGGCCTATGGATGTCTTCTCCACCTAGGGTACATACATATTTCTTTATATGCCCCCAGGAGAGGTCCCACATCAGAATCTTACTCTGGGAATCCCCAGCCCAGTAGTTCTAGATAGTTGTAGTCACTGGATCATAAACTGTTTTATCAAATGTGTCTACATTGTTTTTGGCATTCATCTAGAATTTGATGTCTTCATAGAGACCTCCTGACAACTGGATGCCCCCACTGATCAAGGATCTCAGTGTTGATCCACCATGGCATGCTCAGCATCCCTGGCTTCCCTTTGTCCTTCTTGCTAATGTTCACCATTGCGCTTGATGCTGCCAATCCTTCCCTATTATTTGCCTGTGTCAGCAAAACTAAATACATAATGTTTGGGCCAGAATATCTATTCATGTCCCACTGTGATTCTCCCAGGGGTGGGCAACAAACCAGTAAGTACAATTAAGATGCACTTGGGAGACATTTGCTGAACTTGAGAGGTCTTCATGCTTCCACTCCCACCCCCTCAGGATATAAGCTTATTAATGCCAGCAGCTTCTTGCCAGAAGAATATAACTCAATATGACAAAAACTAAACTGTGTTCATTATTGTCTAAGTGCCAGTTCCTGGCACCAACAATTCACATAGCCTCCAATGTGGTAGTATTAGAACTGGGGCTTTCTGAGAGACAAGAAGTTTGGTTAAGAACACGAGGGCAGAGTCACAGGAAGGATTCACAAAAGGGACCAACACAAGAGCTTCCTGTCTCCACACACAGAGAAGGTAGTCATGTGAGTGTATCTCAAGACAGTGCCAAACAAAAGCCCTGAGACGAGCTCTCAGAAGTAAACATATCATGTCAGCACCTTGATCCTAAACTTAGCCTCTTGGGCTGTGGGAAGTCTCAGTCACCTACTCTGTGGGACTTTGTGTGGTTTTTCAAGCTAAAACACTGTCTCAGGTTATATTTATGAATGCATATGTATATACATAGATGTATACACTAGAAATTAGTGGAAACAGAGGCCATGAATTTGAAGGAGAGCATGTGGGTGACTATGGAAGGGCTTAGAGAGACTAACAGGAGGGAGAAATACTGTAATTAATTATAATCTCAAAAATAAAAATAAATGTTAAAAATAAACAAAATCTTTTTAAAATTTAAAAACAGGCAAACAAATAGACAGACAGACACTATCTTAAAATAAACCAGCACAGAAGAAAGTCAAAGCTGGAGTTAGACAGAAAATCAAGTCTGATACCACTACTTGAGATCCTAGGTCCAACCTTGCCTGAAGCCCTCTGAACTTTTCAATGGCCAGGGTCTGCCTTCCCATCAGGTTGTTTGTCTTCAAGCCAGTTTGAAGACATCTTTTTCTTCTTCACACCCATTGACTTTAACCCAGGAGGATGGAGCTCAGGGTAAATGAGATGTCCATGGTCCCACAGCTGGCTTGCTGCCTGATTACTGTGTTTCAACCAGTGGTCTCAGCCTACCTACCCTCAATGACATGTTCACTGTCACCCCAAGACTACCTTTCTGGTTGCTGTGATCAGATATCCCACAAGAAGCAATCTAAGAGAGGAAGGGTTTATTCTGGCTCATGGTTTAGGGTATACTCTCGTGGCAGATGATGGGAGTGGCCTAGAACTGGGTCTACTGGGGAGGAGAAGGGGAGGTCATTTGGAAGCAGTGAAGGGTTATAAAGTCCAGCCTCCCCGAACTCAGTGATTCACTCCTTGCAGCTGGTCTGCCCCTCTAAAGGCCCCACAACCTCCCAAGTCAGCACCACCAACTGGGGATCAAATGTTCCAACATATAAGCCTTTGAGAGACCTGTTCTATCCAAACCATGATAAGGTTTGCCCTCATTTTGTTACCAAGCTCTCCCTACCTGTGTCTTTTCCACACTCAATCTTGATTTCTATGAACCCTGGCTCCTGTATATCCCAAACTCTCTCTTGTGTCAGAACTCATCACTGTGCTCTTTCTATTGTCCCCTCTGGTGTTATTTTCCTTTGCCACCTCTCTTTCTCCTTTTTCAGCCAAGCCAGCCACTTTGCTGTTCTGCTCTAGCACTGTATGCATGCTATTTCCTGCTTTCTGCAATGTTTGTGCCTAGCCTTCATCTTTGCATCTTGGACTACTTCCTCCCCTCCTGTCCTTTTTATCAGCTTGATTTCTCTCCATGATGGCTTCTGTCACCCACTCTCTGTCCATTGCATCCTCTTAGCAGGTGTTCTCCCAGGAACACAGTTTATTTACTGTGCTATCCCTAAGGCCTAGAATAGTACTGGGGGCAGGGTAGTGTCCCATGAATAAATGAGTAACCAGAGAGAAGTGAATAAAAACAAGACACCACCTTCCTTTCTTAGACCAAGAGAAACACTGAAACTCAATGGTATTCCAGAAATGCCATGTCAAAGATGTGTAAAGCAATACAGTGTGTGTGTGTGTGTGTGTGTGTGTGTGTGTGTGTATGTGTGTGTGTGTGTGTGTAAGCTACTGATTAAATGTTCATTTGTGTGTGTGTGTTGTATTGTTATGTGTCTGTAGTCTGTGGCATGTGTGTAATGTGAGTCTCATTCTCCCCACATTCTCACAGAACTCACAGAGATGGCAGTTACTATAGACATATAAAATACAGTCCCACCCTGTCATTTAAGCTGGTAAAGTTTCTAGGTCTTTCTCTCCTCCCTCCCACAGAGCCTCACTCTGGTGCCCTGGCCAAATGATAGTTCACAAATCAACACACAAATATAGTAAAAAAAAAAAAAAAAAAAAAAGTCAAGACAAGTAGCTTCTCCAGTAGTGACTGGTTGACTTGGAAGGATGGAGTGTAATTCCAGAGTGACAGAAGGTCATCATTTCCTACTCTCATCCACAAATCATCAGGAAAAACCTGCCCAGGTGGGCGTGAGATCAACTTCACATGGTCAATGTTAAATTAGTGTTTACTCTTTCCCAGTAAGAAGCAGGGATTAAATCTGTTTTGATTAAGCAAGATCCTATGATATTAATAAACAATGCCATATCTCTTAGCACTTGGAGATTTTAAGCATCATGGCCATAAACACAGAAGATTCTTCATGCAATGTCTGTGTTCTTCACTTTCTGGCAGTGTTGGTGACTGGATCTATGGGTTTGTGTAGCTAGGCATGTTTACCACTGAGCCATAGCTTCATCCCCAGCCCACACTTGGGTGCCAAAACTCAGCTAGTTCTGTGGTTCTCAGATGCCCACCCCAACGTCCCAGCTTGAGAACAGAATTTAAAGAGGGGGAAAATGAAGGAGAAGCTATGACCCTGGGTCAGCTGTATTATTGGAAGTAGCTATGCAGGCCTCGTCCCAAGGCTGAGGAGCACCTGTGTTGTGAGTCCACATGGTCTTCTCTCAGGGTCTTCAAGTGAGTGCAGAGACAGGGGTGGTCTATGGTTGGTTAAATTGGAGCTTCAGTGGTCATATACACTTACCTGAGACCAGAGCAAGTACTGAGGCTGACCACTGATGCAGCATCCCCTTGTACATGTCCATGGTAGTAACAATGATCCTGAAAGGGAGAGAGGGAAAAATCAGTCAATCAATCAATCAATCAACCAATCAATCCAGGTTCCTCTAATCCCCTCTCCTTGCTTTAGCTATAGGACATGTTATACTGTATGATACAGGCCGTCTTACCATTCAATGTTAAGCCCAATGAGACTTGCCCAAGTCTCTGGTTAGAGAATCAGACCTGCTTAGAGACTATCAGAAGGGTTTGGACATGCCTGATCGGCCTCCACTCTTACATGTCTGTCATCCCTCCAGGAGAGCTCTAATGCCCACTGTGGTACAAGATGCAGCAGCAGAACAAATCACACCGACACCCCTGGTTTACCCTCATGTAAATTGTCTCCAGTAATGAGCCGAGGAAACGCTGGGGTATTTAAGCACACTGTGAGAGTCACTAAACCCAGGCCTGAATGGGTAGCTTAGGAACAGCAGAGCAAACTGTGGGGCGGTGGGTTGTGAGAGCCAGCTGGGTACTTGGTCGAGTAGGCCTTGACCCCCAGAGACCCTCCAGGGATGGAAGGAGTTTGGCCTTACTCCTGTGCTCGTGTCCCCTTTCACATAGCTACAGCCCTCTACAGTCCCTCCCAAAGAGAGGTTTGTGGCCATCAGTCACATAGCACAGGTAGAGGGCGTGACTACAGGCTTCAGAGCCTCAGACATCTCCATATTCATGAGCTACCTAAAGGACAGAGGGCGTAGCCAATTAAGCATTCCTTCCCAGACCCTTCTCCTCGAAAAAGGTATTTAACCTCAGGCCCACCCTGAGAACATGGGGTATAGCTTCATCCACTTTCTGCCATGACAATAAACATTTAAGACCATGGACTACCTCTCCTTTTTCAGGCCCACTGTGGGGGAACCGTGGAGATGGTCTTTAACTGCCAAGCTGCCTTCTAATCTCCTGCCGATAACCTCTCTACTTCCAGCCACAGACTCCACCAATTCAAGTGAGCGAGCCAAGCTAGACATGACCCAGCCAAGCAAATCACAGTGACCAAGAGTCTCCTTCTTGTGGGATGCAGCTGGAGCCTCTTCTTCTCACCCCTTCAGCTTCAGGTCGACTGAGAGCCCAAGGGCTTGAGACCAGTCAGTTTCCAGTCTCCTCTGGGCCCAGGGATCCCCACCCCAAGAGCTCTGGACCCCATGGGGCCCCAGACTATGTTCTCCCCATCCCTGGAGTGGAGCTCTGTGGCTTCTCACAGCCTGATGTCTGCCCTGCACTGTGTGGCATGAACTCAAATTCCCATGCCCCTGCCATGGGGCAACAGACACAGGACTCACAACTCAACAGAACCCATGCCCACATTCACTCTATAGCTCAACAGCAGACAGGGCTCGTGAAGAATCAAAGAAGAGATCTCACAGAGTCACCTATAAACAGCTCAGCAGGAAGATCACTGAGGGAAGTCTCAGGAGAAAAAAAAAATATCTCTGTAGGATACTAGTAACATCCCCCAAAGAAACTTCAGCACAGATGCCTCCTGGGAAGACAGATCTCTGTCCAGATTCAAGGTTAATTGTGCTGGTGAAAAAAGGTTGAGTCACAGTTCCAATTAAACAGCTGATTGGCAAGGAATGGTTGCTCATACCAGCACTCCTCACCCAGGCCTCCAGAATGCCAGCAACATACCAACATTTTGTAGGAAAAGGATCACCTCTTCTAAGTGACAATCAGGTTTCAGCCTGCCTCTGACATGCTCATGTCACCTCACAGGTGCCTTACTCCTGGTGATGACAGTCATACACAAAGACAATCTTAACTTTGCTAAGAAAAACAACCAGGACTAGAAAGATGGCTCAGTGGCTTTTGCTGTTCATGAAGAAGATGGCGGTTTGGTTCCCAGCACTGGCTCTGTACCTCACAACCATCTGAAATTCAGTTCCAGGGAATCAGATCTGATACCCTTTTCCAGCCTCCATGGACTCCTGAGCGCATGTGGTACACATAAACTCATGTGCACACACACCACCATTACCACCACTATCAATTAAAAACAAACAAACAAACAAACAAACAAACACCAGATGGGTTTGAGTAACAAAGGAAAACCCATGATGTTGTGAGAAATTTGCTAAGATAATTTCATCTCAACAACACAAGAGGATAAAATCCTTGGGTCATCTGAAAGGCAAAGGATGAAGGGACGTGGGAAGGCTGCATGGAGACAGGTAATGGTAGTGCTGTTTGAGCTTTTTATTTTCTGATTTTAGAGCTCTTTATATAGATTCAGGATGTTAATATTTTACCCCCATTGCTGTGCAAGAAAATTCTTTGAACCTGACTATTATTGCCCAGAGTTTCTGGCTTTATAAATTTGAGTCTCTTCCACCCTCTAAATTTACTCTATTACTAAAGGCAGTTTTCTTTGAGGTCACGGGTACATACCTTTTATTTTCTTCTATTTACATAGTCTTGAGGGTAGCTCTTTAATCTACTCAGGATTTATTTACAACCTGGAAGTACAGGGCTAGTCTACAACGTCTCCTACAAGCTCACACCAGCCATTAATCACCACTGCTCATCAGTTTTCTCCCAACACTCTGTCATGTGCTGTTTGTGACTTTTCTTGTTGCTGTGATACCTAATAGAAACTTCAAGGAGAAAGGATTCCTTTCAGCTCATAGTCCATTGTGGCAGGGGAGGCATAGTGGACTTCTTGGCAGTGGGAGAAGGATGCTGCTTGCTTCTCCATGACAACAAAAAAGTAGAGAGTGACTTACCCCTAGTGACCCACTTCCTACAACAAGGCCTCCCCCAATAGTATCAGCAGTTGAGGACTTAGTGATCAAGCACGTGAGATGTTCAAGCACAGCATATGGGAATACTCAGGGTATGTCTATGTCTCTTCTCTGTTTTATAGTCCACCAAGGAATGCTCAACTGTCCACTCCTAAGCCAGTTCCACTCTTTTAATTACAATTCTTTTACATGACAATTGGATATCCTGAAGAGCTAATTCTCTTTTACAATTAAGATTAAATTCCCATGCCACACATTTCACTATTTTAAAGCACGCCATGTCAGCATTGTAATGGTGTTCTGTTTAGAGTACATAGAGTACCTGAAGTCCTCCATCACTGAAATCCACAAGGATGCACAACAATCTCCACCATCTCATTCCAGAGCATTTTAACGACCCCACAGAGACACCTGGAACCCAGCAGTCCCTCCTCACCACCCCTGGCAACCACTAGTCTCCCTTCTGTCCCTATGGATTTGCTTGCTGTGTTCATTTTATGTAAATGGAAGCCTGTGATGCATGGCCCCGTGCCTGGCTTCTTTCATGCAGCATAATGTTTTCCAGGTTCCATTATGAATTCTGCTTTCTTTTTCTTGCTGAAGAGTATCTCACTGCATATGCTGCAGTATGGACAGCTGGTGTCCAGAGGCCAGGGCTGGAGAAGGAATTACCTACAGATGGAAAACTGCAAAGGCAGTGGCTGATGGAGGGAGCACACAGTTCAGGGAGCACACATGCTGACACAGGAGCACGAGTGCCTAGCAATCTGTCTCTCCTCCATGAGACTGTCCTTTTCAATAAGCAGTGGCTTGGTCCAATTTAGCTAGGGGAATGAAAGGGGATGTGGCTGTCCAACCAGCCATATCGGATATCAGTAGAACATCAAGGAGGGGTGACATGGATAGGAGTGTGCCTCCTTGCTGTCTGTGTAGATTTTGAATGATTCTGCTCTGCCCTTACTTTCAGGGGAGTCATGTAAAAATTTGCTCACACGAGGGATGCATGTAACTGGATTGAAATATCTCAGGGCATCAGGGGGATCTTGGTCCCCTCCAAGGCTGTGCTATACAGGCTGGGGTGGGGAGTAGATTCTAGCTCCGGGCACCTGCAGGCATGTCAAAGCTGAAGGTGACACTGAGTAGGACAGCATAGCAACTGCTATTGGAGTCTAGGCTTCCCGGACAAGCAGGATCACCTTTGAGATCCGTCTTAGAGTTTCTCTCATTTGGGGGGAGGGGATGAAAAACCACACAGTGACAATAATTACTGACTTCTGAAATTTGAAACTCATTTGTTCTCAGGCTCTGTTGTTAATGGATTGTTTATCAAGTGTACTTTCTAATTAAATACACAGGAATACAAGCTCATTAAAGCGCGGGCTGAGAACAAATTAGTATCAAATTAATTTCCAGTTCAATAACTTGAAATATTGCTTTTATGAATCAAGGAAAGAGGAGTTTGGTGTTCATAAACCATTCCTTGAAGTCAACAACCCTACCCATCTTAGTTGTCAGGAGAGGTCGCAACTTACTTCTCAATTTACCTGAGTTAGCGCCTGAGTCCCTTGCTCAGGACTGACAGGGATTAAAGTCTTAGACTGCAGAGCACGGTCACTAGATTCTCCCAGACAATTCCAATTTCCTGAAATTTAGTGTTTTTCAACATGACTCACCACATGTAAATGAACATGATTTCATTTTGATGAAGCTGTGAGTCACTGTCTGGATAACTTCATGACTCAGAAAGACGTAGTTGGGCCCTCCACGTACTGGTTCAGAAATTGGATTGTGGCAGAGATACATTTTATGACCCTGCTGGGACCTTGACTCCTAAGGCAGGGTCAGAGGCAAAGGGGTCTTTACAGGTGGTACCCTGATCAGAGACTAGCAAAACCCACTTTGTTCCACAAGCTAGTATGTGAAATCAGCTGGTCCCTATGCTTAGACTCAGATGCTCGGACCAATCAGATCTTCTAGGCTTATGAACACTTGGCCCGTAGGTTCTGAATGTGCCACACAGCAGGAGACATGACAGGCATCCAGTGGTCAGAGAAGATCTGTGCTCAACCTAGAGAACCCTGGATCTGCATTACCATAGTGGTCCTTGCTGGGTATCTGTGGTTATTGGTCTCTGTATAGCCATTCTCAGACCTCTACCCTCTCCTCTCTCTGACTGCCCCCAAAGCATCCAACTGCACAGCCTCCTGACTCTAAAGATGTTCTGAATGAGACCATGCCCTCCTAGGACCATCTTCTTTG